GCGCCGCCCCCCGCCCCCCCCCGGCGGCGCCTCTCACTGCCTCTCTCCTTCCCTAGCTGCAGCTAACTCGGGTCGGGAAAATGCGACAGCGACTGCCCACTCGAGGTCGTCATGGCGACAGCCAGTGAACGTGTTCCTCTCCTCGGGCAGGCCCCCGAGTGTAGAGGAGCTGCTTCGCGAGGCGCAGCTCAATCTTCAGAGCCTGTTGCAAGGTACTGAGAGGGAGGGGGGCTGCGGCCGGAGTCCACGGGCCAGATGCGCCTCGGCTGGAGGGAGGCGACGAAGGAAGCGGTCAGGGACTCGCCAGAGGAAAACAGAGAACAGTGAAAAACCTATTAAAAAAACAAAACATACACTTTCACCTTCCAGACTACTGACTCTAAAAGGCTCTGTTTTTCCAAGCTGTTTACACCTCCCTCCCCCCCTTTTTTTTTTCAGTTTATTCTCTAGGGGAAAGGGACAGAGGCCAAGGCAGGGCCATGGGTCAGGCCATTTACAAAGAGCGCTGGATCAAAGACTCCGACAATGTGGGTCCACATACCCTCAGGCCTTCTCTTGCCACATCATCCATGCCTTTGGAATCCTGGCGCCCAAAGACAAAGGCATCTGCAGGAATAACCTTGTCCACATATCTCCTGGGTGGCTCCTGCCTCATCAGAGTAAGCCCAATACACAGCACCCGGAGCTCACCTCATCCCCAATTCCCAACCCAGTGTTTCTGGAGTATACCCATGAGCACATTGTACACAAAGTTGGGTCCACACAACCCAGGAGGAACAGCCCAGCCATAATGCCTAAGCAGTCAGACTACATGCCAGGCAGAAGTGAGAATGCCCAGACTTTGAAATCAGAGAGAGCCAGAATCTAATTTGAATCCCACATCTAACTAGCTGTGTGACATTACACAGATTACCTAACCTCTCTGAGCTGCAGATTAGTCAGTCATCTTTACTATGGGGATTTCGATTCCCCACATGGCATGATTTTGTGAGAATTGCAAAGAGAGTGTGTGTCAACTGCTTAGCAAGAGTCTCTTGCAGCTGGAGCGCCCCTGTTAAGATGCCACGTCAACTCCCAGTACATGTCCTTTGGAACATAGGCTGATCTAGGCACAATATTAAAGTTAATGGAAAAGGAAAAAATAATGTGGTCCCTGATAATAATGTAGGACCTTACAATGTTAAAAACATAAACACTGACCAGAGGGACTTATCCAATGTAAGTGGTGAGAGGACTAAAACTCAAGTGTTATGAGAGAGACTGCTGGGGTAGTGCAAATATCTGGATGGCGGTTACCAGGGGCAGGCATATGTCAAAATTCACTGACCTTGCACACTTAAGATTTGTGCACTTTATGGTAGGTAAGTTAGAGCTCAAGAAAATAATACAAATAAAACCCCAGTGCTACTGACAAGCTCCTTACACCCTCCAGGCCCTCGCTGTCCCATCCAGGACTCTTTTCCAAGCCTGGAAGCCCTTCTTCCCTCTTCCCCACTTAATCCTTATGTTTTCTTACAAGTTCTGTTCTTGCCATGTCCAAAAAGACCTTGAACACCAGTTCTGCATTTTGCACCGTTCCCTCCATAAGCCCTCATACGAGGCCCTTTGTACCATCCAGCTAAAGAGGACTTGTATGGTTCTGAATTGCTTTTTCTTTCATTTCTCCATTCATTTATTCATTCATCCACTAGTCCCAGTATATATTTTGTCCACTTAACCAGACTGGGCTTCTCAATGTAGAGAATCACATCTCTTACTATTCTCGGGTTTCCTGGCACAGGGCTGGATCCCCAAGAGATACTCAGTAGCCATGTGTTGAGTGAACATTCAAAGTGAAAAGTGGTCTTGTCAGCTGTCATTCATCCATACCGACAAGGGCTAATGCTGATGGAGAATAGAAAACTGCAGATGGGCCACCCAACTGGACAACAGCCACGACCCCCACCTCACTGCCAGGGCAGCAGCGAGTTTAGAGAAGCAAGGTTCCAAGGGACACCATGAGCATTGTGTTCAGATAAGAGAGGAGATGCCATGTGGAAACAAAGAGTCCGTGTACTCTGTGTGGCCACCCTGGGCAGAATTAGGACGGATGGGTGGAAACCTAGAGGGAGGCAGATTTCACTTCAAGATAAGAAAGAACTTTCATGACATGCCTGACAGCCTCAACTGACCTTGGATGGAATGAGCTGCCTTGGGAGAAAGGCTGTTCCTCTCTCCGCAAGGGGTGTGCCGAGGCTGAAGAAACACCTGGAAGGGCTGCCAAGGAGGAAGCCAGAGCTCAGCATGGGGAATTGGACCAGAGAATCCTTGAGGCCCCTCCTGACCCTGAGTTTCTGATTCTTCAAGTCTTTGTTCAAATATGCAGAGCCCTGACAGTTGGGTCTTTACTCTGGCTTTCTTCATTTACTCATCGAATTCATCACATCAGTGAAATCCATTCAAATCTTACGCATCCTTCTTACTCCCCGATGATGTCCCTGAACTTCTCCTTCCTCCTCTGCCACTACTGCTGGCTTCACTCTCCTTCACCTTAGCCCCCCCTGGACCTAACACCTCCCCACCACACAATGGGACTATAGGTGCCAGGAACTGGGCCCTCGAAGGCTCAAGTAAGAGTTCCCAGCATCCAAGGGAGTGCTCCACCTTGGACTTCCCAACACCGATTTCTTCATGCTTGACACAGGTCATTTCCTGGGTAGGGTTGCAGAAAATCTGAAGAGCTGCAGGGCTGCAAAGACAGGACCTTGCAGCTGAAAGTAGCAAAAGGTGTCTGCACTTGGAGCCTCTTCCCGGAGTTAAGCACTTAAGGCAGGGGCCACGGAGACAAAGGCTTGGCCCCCGAACCAGCACAACTCACATACATTGACCCTTTTATCTCCCGGGGCCCTCGTAGGAAGTAGGCAGTTTTCCATTTCTGTATCCATAGGCTCGGACGCCTGGAACTATCCTAAAGAAACAATGCAAGTCAGGCCTGGCAGCTAGAGCAGGAGCCCCAGCTCGTGGTCCTTCCCCAGCCCGGCGCTTGGCCATGGCTCCCTAGAGTGTGTATCCACTGTGCTGTTTTTCAGAAGAATATGAGGAACAGTATTCGGAGGCCAGACTTCTGGGGCAGACCTTCCGGTCTGCTGATGAGGCCCCTGAGCCCACCCCCAGCCCAAGGCCCCAGTCTGCCAGGCGTCTGGAGTTTGTCTTGATGGTGAGTTGCCTCTTCCCTGACCTGGGAGAGCCAGCATGCAGAGTTTGCCCCGCACCCACTGATGGGGGACCTGGAACTGCTCACACTGCCCCCTTGGAAGCAGCTGCTCACCTCTGCTCACCAGCAGGGCTACCCTGAGGCCCCTCCAAGATGGGCCCTGCACAGCGGGTGTCTGGCCTGGCAGATGGTCCATACTTTCCCACCTCCCAGATGAAGCCTCCAACCACCCCACCTAGACAGCCATCCTGTGCACACGGCTCGTCTCCAGTCAGGAGCACAGCATCCCCACCACCTTCTTTCCCAACAGCCTACAAAATGGCAGCTAAGTGAAGATGAGACGACCACGCAGGGGGTGAGGGCCCCAGAGGCCCCCCTGAGCCTGCCTACTGCAGCCGACAAACAAGCTGTCTGGAACAGCCCCTTCCCACTGCCTGTCCTCGAGGAGAAGCGGTGGCTTCAGCCTTGCTCCACACACTCTGACATTGTGCCCATCGACGTCTCCGGTAGAGTTGCTTAGCACCATCTCTGTCTGCTTCCCTCCATGCCAACTACAGATCATCCTCTCCAGACGCACCGGGTGCTGGGGGAGGGAGTGAGACTTTCTTTGCTGCTGGTTCACCATGCACTGTCAAGGTCATGGCTCTCACCACGGAACGGAGGCATGCTCTTTCTTCACCCTCTCCTGGCCCTGCCACACTAACTGAGACCATTTGATGGCAAACAAAACTCTCTTAACGGAAAACTCTAGAACTTTACGAACTTGGGTGCTCTTTGGAGCAGCTGTGGAAACTTAGAGTTTATGGGCTATGTTTGGTTTGGGGAAAGAAAACTGTGCCTGAAGCCGGTTTGGAATACACAGATAGGAGTTGGAGGGGAAGTGAGGGGTTCGGCGTGCTGGTGTAAAAGGGAAGATCAGACTCAAGGCATAGATCCAGGGCATGGTGGCACTTTGAATCAGCAGTGAATCTCCCAGCAAAGTGGGCCTCCACCACTTATGTAAGGCCAGAGGGGGACCCAGTACCACCTCAGGATGGGACAAATGATGTACGCAGCTCAGCTGGCTATGTCTTTGGAGACACTTGGCACCCTGTACCATGCCCATTATTAATTCATTTTCTCCACTCTACCGGCTGTAATTGGAAAGGGAGGAGGGTCAGTCATTTCAGGAGAGAGGGGCCAATGACCTAATGTAATCAAGACTTCACAATCCAAGGGGACCAGAGGCACCCTGTGAGCCAGCACCAGCCTGTGGTAGGCTATAAAAAGTTGATGAAGATGATGAGGATAGCTCTGGCCACCTGTGGTGATGCTCCCAGGATATGGGGTCATCCAGCACCACTGGTGTCACCTCAGGAAATCAGAGGCAGGAAATAGAGCCCAGAGCCTAGGGAGATGTACTGAGAGACTTGAAGGCTGAGAGGAGAAACTTACAAAGTGACGGCTGTGCTTTGTTTTTAACCTTCTACCTTGTTCTCAATGAGGCTGGCCCTGAGTTTTGCCCACAGAGCCACTTGCTGGGAAGAGGGGATCGCTATGCAGCCATGGGGCTGAGAGGGGAGGGTTTGGTTAACCAGCTGCTGAATGAGAGATGGTGGGGGAAGCAGCAAACCTTCCCCCACTGCCCTCACCCTGCCCCTGTCCCTGTCCCTGCCCCAGCAATTCCATAGGAGCAAAGACTGACAGATGCTTTAAGAAAAATAGATCTCAGTCACTACGCAGGGGCAAACTTTGGTCAAATACGATCAGGTGGCTGGAGGGCAGACTCTCAGACTGCTTCCTGGATGGGAGGAGAGATGGGGCAGCTTCCTGGAGACACTGTTTTCATTGGCCCGAGTAAAGGCTTTCTCTGAGGAAAGATTGCAATCAAGCAACATCTAGTCTCAACCTGTCTCTTGACTGCACTGGTTCTCACCCCAGGCTGTACATCTAAATGATCAATCACCCGGGGAGTTTGAGAAAACTGCTTCTACCTGGGTCCTAGTCCCAGAGATTTCAGTGTTCTGAGGGGTGTCGTTATTAGAGTTTATGAAGCTGCTCAGTTTGCTTTGATATGGAGCCAGTGTTGAAAACCATGGCTCTCGGCCACTTGAGACCCACAGGTGACCCTGGGTGGACCTCTGAAAGCCAGCATGCATGCTTTGGAGCTGTGGGTGCCCGGGGCCAAGCCAGCAGGGAGGCGGGGTGGGGAAGAAGGGTCACCTGCCTGGATGCTATTCACGCTCACTGCTACTGCCATCATCCCTTCTCTCTACCTCTTTCCACTGTACTGTCTACCGAAACCAGGATGCACCCAAGTGTCTTTATTTTGGCTACAGGACAGCAGTTTGATAAACATGCAAGTTTGCGACACTCGTTGTTTAACACAGAGACAGCTGTGAACCCCAAATCCACCCTGAGGCGGAGGCGGACCATTATTGGATTCTCTAACTATTCCCAGCGAGACCAAGGTGACCCCAACAGAGCTGATCCCCCCAGACCCTTCCCCTTGCTCACTCTTACCATTTCTGCCACCCAAGTGGTATTGCCAAGTGGTGACAGGGAACAGGAATAATCTAGGAGGGAGCCGACTTTGGACGTCCTGAAAAAGCCAATATGATAATTAAGGGTAACCAAGGGCTTTTTGTCAAGGGTAGCAACAGAATGTGGAGAGCAGGTCTCTCAGCCTAATAAATTCATTATGTTATTGTTTCTTATTATTCGTGGAATATAACTAGGTATGTCAAATTGAGGCAGATAGATAAAGGGGGAAATCATCCCTTAAAGCACCACCATCTGAACATAACCATTCCTGCAATTAAATGAATGCTGTTCAAAGAGTACGGATCAGAGAGAGATGGACTTGAATCCTGGCCTCTCCACTTACTAACTGGGAGGCCTTGGCCACATTCCATAACCTCTCTGAACCTCAGCTTTCTCACCCGTAAATTGGGGATAATCATTCCAACCAGCTGGAGTTGCCATGAAGGTTAGAGTTATTGTACATAATTTGCCTACCACGTGCCTGGTATATAATATGTTCATATGGTGGCTGTTACTATAAATAATCATAGGAGGAGTAGTCATACCATCATCATCATCATCATCATCATCATCATCATCATCTAACAGTAATAATTGTGCCTATGAGAAAATCTTTGGGGATTTTGAATATCTGAATGGTTTCCTCACATCTGTAGGTTATCCTAACTTTCTCACGTCACAGAGCTAAAAAGTGACAGGTGTCAGTGATGCCACCAAACTCAGACCTTTCCAGCTGTGGCATCCTCCAGACGCACTGCTGGAGCGGAAAGTCACACTCCTGTCCTTAAATGGTTCGAAAACCTCCGTTCTCACCTCAGGAGAGGTGAACACTGAGGTCCGTAGTGGTTTCATGAGCCTGGGGGTGAAAGCACAGAAGAAACCCGAGGTAGTCCTACGTGCCACTTCAGATCTGAAAGGAATACTCAAAGCTGGAAAGTCTTTGGCAGCCATCCGGACAATTCAAGGGCACCCTGTGATTCACTGTGTGCTGATGGGCAAGGGCCCAACTTCCCCAGCCTCCTCATCTATGGAAAGGAAGAACCAACGAATTCTGACCGAGCTGTTGGCAAATGCTTCTTGGCAAAAAAATAATTTCGTGCTCCCGTCTTTTTGGAGACAGCTGCGGGGGGATCCCTGGCTGCACCACTAATGTTCTATGTTTCCTTCCTCCAGGTCACGGCAATAGTCCCGCTGGCAGTGTGGCCTGCTCTCCCATCTCAGACATCAGGCCCAGTCATTCAGTTCCAGAAGGTGTTCATGGAAGGGTTGCAGTTGGTCAGGAAGCTCGGTTCCCAAATCTCACCTCACCAGGACTAAGAAGTCCTGCCAGTGATCCAGAAGAGCCTCTCCAGGCACGTGGTGGCACAAAACCCTCTGGCATGGAGAGCATTGGAATGGTATACAGTGTCCCCAGTTCTTGCAATGGACCAACTGAATCAGCCTTCTCCACTTCCTGGAAGGGAGATGCTTTTACCTATATGACTCCACATGCCACCACTCAGAGCAATCAAGTCAATGAAAATGGAAAAAAATCCTTCCTCTGGGAATTCTTGGGTCTCTCTACACACACTGCCATCTCTGGCTCCTAAGGAGGCCGCTACCCTCTTTGTCACTCGTGACAACCCAGCAGGATGCAGTGGGTCGGCTGGCTACTCTGAGCACCTTACTCAACGGAGGCAAGTCTCAGAACGAGCCTCCAAGACTGGCCTTCTGACTGGGGGTCCCTCAAGGCTGGAGACAGGCCCAGGTGGGGCCAGCAGGTTCCGGGAGCGGTCCCTGTCCGTGCCCACAGATGCAGGCACCACAGATGTGGACTATGACGAGGAACAGAAGTCCGCTGAGGCCTGTGCCCTGCCTTACACCAGTACGAGTTCGGAGGGCAGTAACAGTGCCGACAACATTGCCTCCTTGAGTGCCCAGCAGGAGGCTCAGCACAGGAGGCAGAGGTCCAAGAGTATCTCACTCAAGAAGGCCAAAAAGAAGCCTTCCCCTCCAACTCGCAGTGTCTCGCTGGTCAAAGATGAACCAGTTCTCTTGCCAGAAGGCGGGTCAGCGCTCCCCAAGGACCAGAGGCCCAGGAGCCTTTGCCTCTCCTTGGAGCACCAAGGACCTCACTCCTCCCACCCAGATGCTCAGGGTCACCCAGCTGTGCCAACCTTCAAAGACCCGGAAGGTACACAATTCGCCCACCACTGGTATCTTACTGACTGGAAGTCCGGTGACACCTACCAATCCTTGTCCAGCTCCAGCACCGCCACGGGCACCACAGTCATTGAGTGCACCCAAGTTCAGGGCAGTTCAGAGTCTCTATCCTCCCCCTCCACCTCCAGAGCCACGACGCCTTCCCAGCTTTCCATCGAGGTGGAGGCCAGGGAGGTATCCTCCCCGGGAAGGCCCACTGGGCTGATGTCACCTTCCAGTGGATACTCCAGCCAGTCAGAGACACCAACACCCACTGTCTCCATGTCCTTGACCCTAGGTCACTTGCCCCCTCCAAGTGGCAATGTCCGGGTGCGCCCAGTGGTCCCTGAGAGGAAGTCATCACTACCCCCAACATCACCGATGGAGAAAATGTCCAAGGCACGGCTATCCTTTGACCTACCATTGACCTCTTCAACCAACCTGGATCTGTCTGGGATGAGTATCTCCATCCGAAGCAAAACCAAGGTGAGCCGGCATCACTCAGATACGAATTTTGGGGCCAAGCTTGCCCAGAAAACTAGCCCCAACCAGCCAATCATGCCCATGGTTACTCAGTCTGACTTACGTTCTGTTCGCCTGAGGTCAGTCAGCAAGTCTGAGCCGGAAGATGATATCGAGAGTCCTGACTATGCTGAGGAACCAGGAGCAGAAGTCTTCACCTTGCCAGAGAGAAAGATGAAGCCTCCCATAGCTGAGAAGCCCCCACTGGCCAGAAGGCCTCCAAGCTTGGTCTACAAGCCACCATCTGTTCATGAGGAGTACACACTAACTTCACCTACCTTGGCTACGACCCCCAAGAGCTCAATTCAACACCCGAGGCCACTCCCTCAAGATATCTACATGGTGGTACGGAAGCCAAAGTCTCCCAACTTTCCTGAGGGCAGAAGCCCAGGGGAGTCAACAGCATCCTCATCTCTTGTTTTCACACCTTTTGCCAGTTCCTCTGGTGCTTCCTGCTCAGGAACACAGCAGTCTCCCCAGGGAAGTACGGAGGATGAAGGCCCCAAGGGGAGAGCCCTGCCTGAAAGAATTAGCCTCCAGAGCCAAGAAGAAGCTGAGAAAAAGAAAGGCAAGATTCCACCGCCTGTACCCAAAAAGCCCAGCGTGCTGTACCTGCCTCTCACCTCACCCACAGCTCAAATGGAGGTTTATGCGGCCGAACCAAGGCTGCCTCTCAGCCCCATCATCACCCTGGAGGAAGATAGCAAGTGTCTCCCAAGTGGCGACCACCTGCATTCGGCTGGTACGAGGATGACTTCCACAGTGCAGGCTGACCATGAAAAGGAGGCAGGCCCTCCGGGTTAGTATATGTGTCTGCTGGCTTTTCCTTTCAGTCCCAGGAGAGATGAGGGTGAGGACGGAGTGCCAGAAACAGAAACAAATGCTCTCCCAGATAATGATCCTTATTCCAGGGTGACCAAATCAGTAGAGGGCACCTCTTAAGGGTTTGAGTGACTCGAAATAGGTCTCACTGCCTTTGGTATTGGGGCTGACCCAGGGGTGGATCTCCAAGGCCTCCTTTGGGCTGGTCTACCCTGGAACCCCCAGTGCTGAGCTAAGGAAATCAAAACAGGTCTTAGCACCCTAGGGCCTTGGGAGCCCGCCTTCCTCCTCAGGCAGGCATGTCCTGCCCTAGACACTGTCTCTCCACCTCAGTGTACAGCACTTTTCACCAGCTGCATTGAATTTAGTTTCACACATGGGACTCGATACCCTCCCAGCCTGAGTTCAAGTGTCACGGGAGGCTGGCAGGTTTCCGAAGCAGTGGAATGCGTCACCAGCAGTGACCTCTCTTAGTGCTTTCTAGAAGAAAGGGGGCTCACTTTCTTGGATGGTTTCAGCCTAGCTTTTCCTGGAACCCAAAGACTAGGCTAGACACTGTCTCTCATAGTTTTTGGTTTTTCCCTTGTCTCTTTGTGTTTTAATTGTGGTAAAACACAAATATAAAATTTGCCATCTTAACCATCTTAAGTGTTCAGTTCAGTAGCGTTAAGCACATTCACAGTGTTGTGTAACCATCACCACCATCCATCCCCATAACTCTTCATCTTGCAAAACTGAAGCCTGCACCCAGTCAATGGTAACTCCCCATCACCCTCTCCCCCAGCCCCTGGAAACCACTCTTCTACTTTCTGTCTCTATGAGTTTGACTCCTCTAGGGACCTCATATAAGTGGAATCATACAGTATTTGTCTTTTGGTGACTGGTTTATATCACTTAGTATAATGTCCTCCATGTTCATCCATGTTTCTCATCTGTTTTTGAACCCTTAACACTGAACATCAAAATCTTACGGCCTTCCTTGAGCTGATTTGGATTTTTAATGTAAGTTAAATCATTGTGCAAGCAAACAAATCAAAGCCGCAGGTAATTTTAGAATCTTCTTCCCCAAACTCCGCAGGCTCCCTCTGAGATTCAGATCGGTCCCACTCCCACCCACTGGTTGAGTCATTGCTTTAGATTGCTCTCAGCCTCTTGATTTTTAAAAAGGATGCATTTAAAACAAGAGACTGCTCAGGCAACCTGTTGTAACGGAAAAGGCACGAGAGAACAGGGACCTAGGCTGATCTGCATCACTCCCTCCATGTTCTATTGACGAAATCACTAACCTTCGGAACATCCTGTTCCTCTGCAAAATGGGAGACAGTGAGCCTCTGCCCTGCTGCCCTCCCAGCGTTGCTTGCAACGTCAGACAAAATACATATCTGAATTTGCTTTGTCCTAACTGTTGTGGTCAAAGTAATTCCTTCTGGTTCTTTATGCCTAGGGAGTCCAATGGAACCAAGCACCGAAGAAAAAAGTGTAATCAGTGATAAAACAGCTGAGTGGATCGCGGAAGATGATGATGATGTGTTTGTGGCTTCACGCACAACTGAAGATTTATTTACTGTGATACACAGGTCTGGACCAATTTCCTTAATTCCTATTGTAATTGCCTTCTCTTCTTATACCAAAAGAAAAACTGCTACCTCTAAGCAGTCATTAGAATGGGAACTGGAGACTAAGTTGAGATACCCACGCATGTGAACGTAGTCCAGGGCCTCACGTCTCCAATTCACTGACATCTTTGGGTGGAGTGGAGGAGGGGCAGGCAGGGAAGGGAGGACCAGGTGCTGAGTGAGAGGCCCCTCGTCTCCTAGCAACCGCTCGGCCTATTGTGGCTCCATCTGCTCTCTCACAGCTCTGCCTGCAGTCAGAGACATTTAACCCTTCACAGAATTCCTTGTACCAAAAAAATCTTCTCAAGAAGTGAAGTGGGGCATCAGGCCGAGCATCAAAGCAGGAACTTAGGCAAAGGGGGACTAGATGGGGACCCAGTTATTGGACAGGGGCATAAAGCAGGGGCTCGGTGACGAGGAAACTGGGAAAAGCCCAGTTAGTGGAGCTGGAGCACCAGTTCACAACAGGATCAGTTCCCAGGCTGTCTTGATTCAGAGTCACTGAGCTACTAGCTTTGATTCCTTAAATTCTCCCTTGGTCCCAGAACCTGGACAGGACCGAGCCTGCAGGCACTGGCCAAGTGACACCGGCTGTGGGCATTGAAAGTAGTATAGGGACAGGGGACCAGACAGGGGTTCTGAGGACTTAGCAGAGAAAGAGAAAGCTGGTAAGTATGACTGCTTGCGAGGCTGCCATATACAAGTTCACACATCACATCACTGGCGTTCATGAAGTTATAGGAAGCATTAGGAAGTGTCTGCCACAAGAATTCACCCCAAGCAAACTTTCTGTCATTTAGGTCCAAAAGGAAGCTGCTTGGCTGGAAGGAACCTGGGGAGGCATTTGCCAGCAGCAGCAGACCCAGCTCCCACTCACCGATAAGGAGCACGGCGGAGTCTCCCGTCAGTGAGCCCGCTGCCTCTGCAGGGTCGAGCGGCAGTGCCAACCTAGATGCTGGCAGAAACGATGACTTCAAGGCCTTGCTACAGAAGAAGGGGAGCAAGGCAACTCCAAGGTCCCGCCCCTCAGCAGCCGAACTGCTGAAGACCACTAACCCACTGGCTCGGCGAATTATTGCACAGTTTTCAAAAGACTATGAAACCACCGATAACCCCAGTACCTAAGCCCTGGGTTCACCAAACAGGGTTTAGTTATTAAACTTGAGGAGAGAAGGGGGAAGAGACAAAGGGTTTTAAAAAGGAACCATGGAAAGAACACAAGAGCCTACATTTCTATTACATTAACTCATGCTCCGGACAGCAGGAGAGAGGCCACATCTAGAACTCAAATCATCAGGCACTTTAATCATCTTCAGACATTTTGCGTTTTCATCCTTCGAATCTTGCCATTACTGACTACCGATTTTCTCCTTATTTGTCCCCAGCGGTATGCACTAAGAAGAAATTCTCAGATGCAAGGGCATGTGCGCCATCTTTTCAATCAATGACTAGGATGCTCCATCCCTGGCTCCTGTCACTGAGGGGCACAGTGAGAGAGCAGACTGGGTGGGGGCTGTCAAACCCAGGGGACACAGGGTGCCACGGCTGATTATTCACTTTTCCGGGGAGGCCTGGCTGGCCTTGCATGGAGAAACAGGACTCTGATGCCTCTTCAACCACAATTTAACTCTCCCCTGCGATAGGCTTGCAGGTGTGCACTTATTTCGGCATGGGGTTGATTGGATGGCAAAATATGAATGTGACTCTGTCCTGAACTTTAGGCCTTTTTCAGTTTGATTGTCTACACGGAGATCAGGGTGATGAGTTTCAGTAAACATATAGACCCCTGCCCCCCATCCCCACTCCCTGCCCCTTTGCCACAAAAGGTCAGGACTGGGTTGCTTTGGATGAACCAAGTTCAGCCAACAAACGAGGCCACCATTTGTTCACTCGCACATGCGCCTTGAGAGCCTTCAAGTGTCTGTCAACAATGATAGCTAGTGTCTGTGCCCAGCTCATACTGCATTCGAAGAACTCTCGTTTCATTGGCATATAGCATTCATTACAGGAAGTCATTATCTGAAGGAACAGCATCATCAAAGGCTCCAGGAGGAGAGGAAGTAAGTGTAACTTGCCCACCACCATTCAGTCCAGATTGTGGTTTGTGGATGGTTTGGTTTTGTTTAAAAGAAATTTTATTCTGTTCCCAAACCAAGAGGGTACAGACTAAAAGGATATATCCAAAATCTAAAAAGGCAGCCTTGCAAATTGCAATGGCCTGTCACACACACACCGAAAAGGGCTACTTTTGGCCATTTCGGTTCTACCTTTTGACCAATTTTCAATTAACCATGTTGGGGGAAAGTGTAAGAACTGGGGTAAATGGGAGGCTGACAGAGCCCCAGAACAGTCATTGTGATCCCTTCCCCCCACCCTCTGCCAAAGCTTATAGTCACTAACTATTCTTGTCAGTTCAGTTTTCTATGCAGAGCAAGAGCCATGATTCATTTGATTTTCATATGACTGCTTTCTGGGAGATCGAGGGAGGAAATTCAGACAGACTTGAACAAAGAAAATGGCCAATAATGGAGGATGAATTGTCCACCATTCCCAAGAGGGAAAAAAGAAAGTCAAATGAAATTGTAGCATGCTTCCCAAAGAGGGTTCCCCAACCCCTTCCTCCTTCACCCCCTACCCAACAGATTCATTGGTCAACCTCCTGGGGGATTTGGAAACTGCCTCAGAGACAAGCAGATTTTGATTTTGATAGGTCTTAGTGTGCACCAATGAGGAGCACGCTCTTAGCCCAACTGCTTCTACAGCGGACAGAGCAGCTGGAAAACGACACTGAATGCTGAGAGGACTTGGCCCTCTCACGTTGAAGCCCTAGGCCTGGGCCCTTGGTTGGTACAGTTCTGAATTCTAGACTTCCAAGTACAGGCCAGGCCCAACAACTCTCTTGCCATCAGCACCTCCCCCTGATTTAGACAGAAGCCACTTAAAATAATAAATAGTTAGTGAAAGCCCAGTTGCTTTTGAAAGCATTCCAACTATTTGGTTCAAAGGTCCTGACCACATTTCAGGGGTTCTGCCTGAAATAAAAGAAGATGCATTCCTGGCCTTCATTTATATATGAATGCCACAATTGTCTGTCCTAGACTGAGAATTCCCAAAGATAGAAACATTTTCCTCTGTGGGGAAATGAAGGAGTGTTTCATGCTTTTGCTTAACAAAAGTGAAAGGCCACGGAGACCCTCCCCTCGGGAACCACTGCGCACAGTTGAGCTCTAAAGCCGAGTATGAGACTCACATGGTATAGGGCATGTTACCACTGCTGATTTTTCTGGGAGCTTCTTGTTTGCAACTTCTGGTGGGTTTTGCCTCTCCCCTCACCTTGCCACATCTGGTGGTTTTCCCCCAAAATTC